CAGCCGTGTGATTGGCTGCTGGCTACAACACCCAGCTGTCAGGTGGAAGACCCTCCCCTTATTTCATTCTCTATGTGCCGCAGAACAGAAACACACTGTCCCACAGCATAATACCCCCACCGCCATGTTTGGCACAGTTTGAGTCCTCCAAACATTCTTCTTCTTGATCTTGTGGCGCTCTCGCTCAGTCTCTGCCTGCTCAGACCGGGAAGGTTTCTCTGTAGGACATCCAGCTCAGCCATGAGGACAGCTGCTGTTTCAGTTGAAGCTGCTGACGTCATTGCTCTACTCTCCCAGCCTTATGCAGGAGCTGGTTGGCGTCCTTATTATACTATGTGGAGCCAAGAAACTGAAGCAGAGGCTTAACTCTGTTCTTGTTATCCTTCCAGACAGGAGGAGAGTTCAGTCAAAGCATCCAGGTTCATTCCTGTGTCACACTGACTGCGTATGAAGAGGGTCCAACTGGGCAGGGTGGGCAGATCTGAGCAAAGCTCCACTTAACGAGTCTGTGCAGCATCTCAAACAAGAACAGATAGAGAATGTTCATATATTAAAAACATGATGAGATCTAGGTCTAAAGAAAAGAAAAACCCAGCGATAAACGCGGTGGGATGGTTTCTATGCTCACTGAGGCAGACAGGTGATTCTCCGAGAGAGATCTGGGAAGTTTTTCTTTCTTTTTTTTCATAAAGAGGTTAGAGAGATACGCTGCGCTTACCTGCTCTGCCTGCCCCTCAAAGAGAGTCACTACTTTATCTGTTTTCTGTTTCCCTGAACTCCTATCAAGGTTTATTTTTATACCAGTCTTTCCTGCTTACTAACACAATGTGCGACTTTAAGCTGACTCTTTCCCCAGCAGATTAACAGATTTTACTTTGTATTTTGCCTCAAATTGGATGAATTTTATTTTGTAACCACATCTCTCCTCCTGTCAGTCAGACCCATGAAATTGCTGCTGAGTTGCTGCATAGTCAGACTAAAAGAGACCTGGGCTCTCTCTTAGTCGAGCTGCGCAGCCCCCTGCAGGAAAAAACATCCCCTTTGATTTTCAATGAGCACTAAAAGCCACGATCTCTGAGGCACGATTTTCTGTTGGATCGGATGCAAAATCGGATTCGCTGTGTTTTGGCCTTAGCTATGCCCGAAGCAAGAACTGTTTGTCTGACGGTTTTTAATTCTGACTGAATGATGATACATGAGAAGCGATGGTGCAAGGTGCTGCTCCATACTGACCAACTCAGTCGGCGGCTCCAGAGGCCGCAGGGACAGGAAGTCGGCTACGAAAGAGGAACAGTCCTGCCAGTAGAAGAGGTCACCAAGGTTCGAGGCTACAGGCTGAACCGTGGTGGATATGAACTTCTGAAAGGAAGACAGAATCCAGAGGAATCAGACCGGGAGCGGGGGGCAAAGGTCAAACTGCAGGGAGGGCTCATCCTTACCCTGACGCCACACTCATTGACGGGGCAGAGCAGAAGAGGTTTACTCTCAGGATGCAGGAGCAGATACTGCTGCTGGAAGTTATCTGCGATTTCCAGCAGCTGCTCCTCCTTTGGGGAGTTGATCCTGTAGGATTCAGGCCTGCAGAAGGACAAAAAGAGGCCACTGATCAAACACGGTAAAATGTTTCCAGAGTGAAACCAAACTTTCTGTCCCTGTTATCGTCACATCAACAGACCCTGAAGATCTACTGGTCAGTGAGAGAAAAAATCAAATCCTCCAGATGGACCTAAGGTTAACATCTCCTTTGATCAAAAGACGCTGCAGCCGCTGTGACCAGCGATGGATTAAACTGCTGTTGGTCTATGTGATGTACATCTATACCTGCCTCATCTTAAACAGACTCTGAACATCAGATAATGGTCATTGCAGGAGTTACTCTGAAGGCTCACATGAGCTCCTCTGAAAGCTGCAGCTTGCTGAGATCCTCCTGCAGCTTCTCCATCTGCCTGCCTGCTCCAGTTGCCTCCATGGATGATAGCTGGAATCTTAGGGGTCTGCAGAGGTTCCACATCACAAACCCAGAAAAACACAAAGCAGATTGTTACATCAATGATCCTTTTCTCTTTAAAGGAGAATTCCGGTTTTTAACAC